AACATCCTGGATCTTCACCTCGAAAGCCGCCACCCCCCCCCCCTTCTTCCCCCCACCCCCGTCCCTCCGTCCCTCCGTCCCTCCGTCCCTCCGTCCCTCCCCCCCCGCGTCTCCTCTCCCCGACGCTTGTGCACCCACCCCGCGCGGACATCATGACGACCCGCGAGGACGTGCCCATCCCCGACGCCGGGCTGCCCGCGCCGTACGTGTCCGAGCCGGTGGCGCCGCACATCATGGCGGACGATCGGAGCGACGCGGGCTCGAGCACCAGCTCGGGCATGCTGTCTGACACCCGCTCGGACACCCGCTCCCGCCGCACGAGGTCGGTTGACACCACCCCGAGCGCGGGGCAGCGCGGCTCCGTCCGCTCCCGCCACACCCGCGCCTCCATGTACTCCAAGGCCGCCACCAACTATGACCAGGTCCCCAACGTGCTCTCCATGTTCGAGTGGAACGGCGGTGGCAGGAACGTCTTCCTCACCGGTAGCTGGGATAACTTCACCGAGAAAATCCCCATGGAGAGCGTCCAGCCCGGCCAGTTCAGGGCCGCGGTCCAGGTGCCGCAGGAACGCCTCGAGTTCAAGTTTGTTGTCGATGGCCGCGAGAAGTACAACCCCGACTACCCGACTATGCATACCGAGGAAGGGGAGCGCGTTAACGTCAAGCATGTCGACCCGGACACGAAGAAGAAGACTGCCGGCCCGGTGCGGAAGATTGTCTCTAAGATTTCAGGTCTGGACATGTATTCCCCGTTCCATCTACAGGAGACCATTTCCATGATTGTTTTCCGCGTCTTCTACATCCTCACCATCCCGGCCGCCTTCTATTACTTTTACTGGCTCAGCGCCAAGGGAGGCAATCAGGATGCAAAGATCCCCTGGATTCTGTTCGTCGTCGCCGAGATCTTTTCTTTCATCTCCGCCGTCATCGGTCTTTTCGGTATGTGGGCCCCAGTCAATAGGAAGTGGCGCTCGCTCGACTCGCTCAAGCCCCCGCTGCCGGAGGCCGACTGGCCCACCGTCGATGTTTGTATTGCTCATTACAAGGAGCCCGCCGAGCAACTTCGGAACACTGTCCGCGCAGCTTTGCGCCTCGACTATCCGAGCCACTTGCTTCGCATCATCATCGCTGACGATGGCTACTTCCCAAGTGCCAAGAGTGTCGAGCGCTCTCAGCTCGGTCTCGACATGTACCAGCTCCTCGCCGAGGAAGCCGGGTACGACCCGCTACTGGAGGAAGTCATGAACGACCAGGGTCTTGTCGAACATTACACCGTCCTCGCGGATGAAGACATCATCCGTCCAGACTGCTCCAAGGAATGCCACGTCTTCGACTTTGGTCCCTTTGGCGATGACATGTACGCCCCTGGCGCCTTGCCGCGTCTCTCCCTCATCTCCCGTGTCAAGCCGGCCAACCATCACAACAAAGCCGGTAACATTAACAACGTCCTCTTCAACTCGGGTGCGGACGGCAAGGTCATCCTTTTCCTTGACGCCGACATGCAGCCGACGGAGAACTTTTTGCTGCGTACCGTGCCCTTGCTGCTGGAAGAGATGCGTGACGACGCTGTCGAGAACACCCTCGTCCTCGATGACGATCCGGAGATCGGCCGCCACGCTAACAGTGCCTGGAGGGTCAACCGCGACGTCGCCTTCATCCAAGCCCCCCAGCGCTTCCATAACGTCGACCACGCCGACATCATGGCCCATCGCAACGCTATCTTCTACGATGGTATCTGCCGTGGTCGTGATGGCTTCGGTCTCACGCCCTTCGTCGGGACGAATGCTGTTTGGCGCCGTGAAGTACTTACCGAGATTGGTGGCTTTGTTTACGGGTCTGTGACGGAAGATACCCTCACGTCCAACGAGGTTCATCGTCGCGGCTACATCTCCAAGTACGCTGCTGAAGACATGGCTTACGGTGAGGCTCCGGTCTCCGTCGCCGCCGCCATGCTCCAGAGGCAGCGTTGGGCTAAGGGTGCCATTATGAACGGCATGCTCATTTTCAAGCGTGCTGCGGAAGAGAAGAAGAGCCAGATCGCTGCGCGTCGTCGCGGAGAAATTGACGAGTTCTATGAGTACCGGAGACACGGACGCCGCCCGAATAATGGCTTTGTACGAGCTATGTTTTGGCTTGATTCGACCCTCTATCCCTTCCTGGGTATTGCTGCTTACATGTACATGTTTGTCGCTCTGTACTACCTCTTCTCCGGTCAAGCGCCCATTGACCCGCGGTCGTTTGCTGATCTTGCGTCTGCATTCGTTCTCTATTACTTGATCCGATACATTTCTTTCTTCGCAGCCTTCACGGATGTGGCGTACATCGATATTCTGCGTTCACAGGAGACGTGGTTCAGCTACAATATCTGTCATGTCATCGGCATGTGGGACGCTTTCATGGGCCAGAAGATGAGTTGGGTTGCCAATACCGGACAAAGAAATCGGCGTAACTGGATGGAGTGGGTGAACATCTCGATAGTTGCATTGATGGTCGTGGGGTTGATCACAAGGGTGATCCTCTTTTTGTACAAGGACGGAGGATGCCGGCCGTGGGAATCGCTTGGTGCGGTATTATTTGGTCTTTACATCGCAGTTCATATGTGGCCAATGGCAGCAATATCGATCTCAGAGCGTCTCAAGGGAAGGAAGGCTGATGACGTCGCACGAGGAGTAGACTTGCCCCTTCCGATCATCTACTCCTGCGTGACTATTCTCGGTGTTCTGGTTTTGGCCAGATGGTCATCGACACCGTGCGCCGAGACTTCCACTGGTTTCTAGTCTACAAGTACAGAACAGGTGGTGCGTGGATAGGACAAGGGTTGGGATAGGTGAGAACGGGAGGGTTTGTTCTCAGGACATTAACTGTGGAATTGTAGTGGATAAGGGTGTGGGGCATAGGGGCTCTAGTTTTTTCGAACAAGAAATTGTTTCAATCAGAATGCGCTCAATGGGGGCGTGGAATGGGGCATTTGCCTGAGAAGCAATAGGAGGAAGCCCGATGACTCTTTTCCAAGTTGGATGTGGGGGCTGTAGGGATGATGTGGTGGACAAGGGGAGGGTATGCTACACGCAATATTCTTGGTCGTTGACATTCGGCAGTCACGAAGGAACTGCTGTGGTCGGGGATAGTGTCGGCTTTTTAGACGCGCTGTAGTCGGCGAGCACCGGTGTAGGCGGGGAGGATTGTATACTTCTCACCCGATAAGGTGTGCGCGAAACTAGTATTGGTTTTTTATGTTGAATGTGACATGTATAAAAGAGTCTTACATTCAGAGGTGAGGACGTTGCCCGCCTCGTTTGTCACGTCAAGCAGTTTAGAAGAGCGTTTTCGGCGGGGACACTTTGCGCGCGGTGCCGCCGGAAAGGTAATATTGTACAGGTGCATGTGGAGGAGGGGAATAATGCGATACGACATTGGCGAGAAACAGTGTGTTTCGAGAGCACCTTAATTTGCATTACCTATGTCGATATGTTCAGGCGCGGCAAGGCAGGGGAAATGGGAATTGTGTTCAAAAATGCATGGCTACCGCGACATCAAAACGTAGGTGGGTCCAGCAGGCAAAAGGACCAGACTTGAAGCGGGTAGAAAACGCTCGTCGGAGTGATCGCCCATGAACGATGAACGGATCGCCCATGAACGATAAACGGCGACGCGTAAACGCAGTGTCAACAACTGTAAACTATAAGCCAGTGTTTGGTTGCCAATGTTTGGTTGTCGAAAGGAGTGCGCGCCGCCTGACACTTTTCAATATTTTTCTGGGAAGAAAAAAAAAGAAAAATAAGAAGGGCAATACAGATTTAGGAAATTCAGGCCAGTGGATGCAGGCTGAGGGGGATGGGATTTTTTATGTGCAGTACAGGTTTCTGCGATGTCAAACGTCTCGCGATCCAACTATCGCACCTGTACAGCAAACCAGGCAGACCAGGCAAGATGGCATGCCCCTCCCCCGCAGGGTGATTTTTGACGTGCGGGGACTCTTTTAGATGTTTATAGATGGGGGGAAGGAGCCGTGATAAAAATACAATCGTGGCGTCGGATCGGACGTAGCCCTGTCTGGATTTAAAAAGCCAGCTTTGGGCACAGTGCAATACAGTAACTAACCGGGACAGGCCGCGGTGACGATGGGTGACGCCGCCGAAGCACGAAACTCGGTAAAACAAGGGAGATGCGATTTCGAGTGAGTGCTGGAGGGGGGCCGGTCGCCCAAGGCGCGTAGAGGTACGTAGATGGCGCTTGCTTGCATGTACAGTACGGAATTTGCAAGGTCCTCTTGACAGCGCCTGACAGCCAGTCCAAACAGCTGCATACGTAGCAAAGCGAGTGGCAGCGCAGCGGCTCAACGTATCGTACTCTCGCTGGCAGCGGTGCCCCCCGTGGCGGGGAAATCCGCCCTACAAGCGAGAGCCCCTCAAACAGCGCCGCGCATCAACGCCGCCCACGGAAACGGGGCGGCGGGTCCCCTCGCCGGGCCCGGGGCCGCCCCGCTGCGCCGCGGAGCAGCTCCGCGGAGCAGCCGCGCGTCGCGCGTCGGGGGCGCGCCCCACTCGGGGCCCGCCGCGCGCGACGGGCGTACGGGAGCATATCGCACGCGGCGAGGC